TGTCCTCGAAAATTCTAATTCATTTGGCATGAGATGTGGCTTGGAAATCACTAATGGGGTGATAACTTCCTGTAGATGGTCACCCTTCTGAGAGTTTAAAATAATGACATGTGTGCCCTGGAATAGAAAATTAGGCAAATTTAGGAAAAAAGACCCTTTCCCTTCATCTCAATTAAAGTGCCCTACTCATGACTCATGTCTTGGCTTTACCACCTTCACACCTTCTACACTGTGATGCCTGATGCAACCTGACTGCCTGTAACAGCAGTTTCGGCAGCAGTGTTCTCCAATGACACATGTCCCCATTCACAAAAGAAATATCCTTGTGGGTTTCTTAGGTACTTGCAGAAATATATACTAGCTCAGGAGTAGCCAGAAGCATCTGATCTGTCTGCCTCACAGCGCTCTGACAGTTAAGCATTTGCTTTTGGGCAAATAAAATGTCAGCCACTGTTAAACAGCATATGGCAACAATATGGCCTCTCCTTCCCTGAGACCAAGCTCTCCCCAGAAGAGATGGCACTTGAAATAAGAGATGCTTTTGAATGTGGGACCCTATCCGTCCCACCCAGCATGATGGCTGGGGAGTGGGCAGACTGGACTTGGACACCCAGACCAAATGTGAACAGAGGGGGCAGGCTACCCAGCCAGCAATGATCAGAGGCCGTCTGCCCTGGGCATATGGGTCTGTGGTTAAGGGGAAGTGCTCTCCCTAAACTGGCCTGGATTAGCTCTATAAAACAGAAACAGTCCCACAACCACTTAAAGAGGGGCTGGGACCAACTGGAACTCAATGCAGGCTGTGCAGTGAGTGGAGGGAGGCAAGGAGCTCCCACCCCCCTTGTCTCTGCGCGATTGCCTAGGTGAACGAGGAAAAGTAAACTGCCTGGTCCCCAAATAGATGATGAGGATGTGAAACTCTTGTTTAGTGGGGCAGCTCATGTGCAGGGGACGCGATATGGATGAGGAGGAGGGCTGCTTTTGCAGGGATGGCCAGTACCCAGGCAGTCTGCTCAAGATTAAAAAATAAAGTCAGGAGCCACTGGGCTACTGTGTCTGCTGAGGACACCAGCAAATGTCAACAGAGATGGCCTGATCCTCACGATATAGTCTCAAAACCTTGCTTGTCCTGATTTGGGGGAACTGCAGTAAGCAATCAAAATGTGATGCTTGTCCTGTAAGAAATGAGGTGGTTCCTTGTGTAATACTGTTTCTGTGTTACTTGGATTAGAATATAGTCAGTCAGTCAGACTCACCAGCTTCACTGTCAGCATGCCACATCAGTGAAATCACTGGCCTTCTAAGAACAGTTCAGCAGTAGGGCCAGGGAAGCTTACTTTGATTAGACAGTTAACGCTGTTCCAAAATTCTCAACGTTATCATTATTTTTCCACTTGTGTAAACTACTTGATTTGAATGTTTAAAGGTTATCTATTACTTCTCAAAGTAATTCTAAGGCTCTCATATTTTAAAGAGTAAAATAAAATAAGTAAAAAAGGTAAAACTACAAAAATGTCTACAGAGATACATATTCTTACAGAGCCAAGAATGACAAGGCAGGGAAGCTTCTCATTTCCAATTAATTTTGTTTGCCTTGATTGTTATCAATCATATAACTTAATAATGTTTTATTATGAAACTGAATAAATGAAGTAATACAAAAATGTAAATGCCTAGGAAAGTGAGGATAGTTTTAAAAGTAGTATTATTAATACTGTTTTTCATAGAATATGTCTCCAGAAGACATTAAAATGAGAACAACAAAAACCACATATTTTAGTAGCATCAATTTTCCTGGAATGTTTTTTTTACTCTTTACCAAATAGATAACTGAGAAGATGATGCCATCCTTTCCTCTTTATGCTGACAGTCAGTGAATTCCCTGACCACTGGTAACAACGACCAGATCAGTAGCTGTATGAACAGCAGGAGGTGGCAGGGTTTTTCCAGGACACTTTACTCGTAGGGGGTGGCTGCAAACTGTGAATTAGATGAGAAGCTTTCTCTGTCAAGGCTGTAGTTGGGGAACTGTTCCCATGTGACTAAAGGAACCTTTAGTGAAAAACAAAAAATGCAATCATCCAAGTGTTTGCCACTATTATATCAACATCAGGGTGCTTAAAAACATCTCAAGAAATGACTAACTTCCTAAGTTTACATCTAGGTACCTGAGATTATGCTGTTTTACTGTTTCCACTTGAATGCCAGTATGTCAAATGTGGCACACCCTGGTGATCTGTTTTGAAACTTTATATATGTTCTGTTATGCATTGGGTATATATTATAATTAATGTATTGAGCTTAAAACAATAAGTGAAATTGATGAATCACATTACTACTCCTCTGTGTCAAGTTTTCCAAATGTAAAATAAAAATAAGTATTCTACCCTTTCTCCTCATGGATATATTATAAAGATGGGTTTGCCACAAAACAAAGTAGACTCTGGTGGCAGAACTCTGGTGCTCCAAGATATTATTGCCCTTTTCTAGCATTAATTGGACTTCTTATCAAGTATAAATTGGAATTCTGAATTTGAGATGCATTTTGTAACATTTAAAACTTTTTGAAATGGTTTAGCTAGTATTTAGTGGGCACTGTGTGTTTGACCAATGCATGAATGAAAAAGTAGAAATTAGATAAAGTTCCCCCTCACCTCATAGTGTTGGATTGTAGTTGATTGCCAACTATGTTTTTCTGTTTTGTTGAAGTACCTCCACTATTTACTTCTCCCTCGTCTCTTAACAAACTGTGCAAAGTTGGAAGCGGTATTTGCTGGGGTTTAGCTGAAACACGGAAGCAATCAAGTGGTTGAATTCTGGATTTTTCAAATTTAATGGCATTCATTTATCCATACTGATTGGAGTTTTGGTAAATTCAATTGTTGGTATCACCTGGATAATTTTAAGTCTTTCTGAAGCTTTAAAGAAAATGTTTCCAACACAGCTCAAGCAACATAAGAATTTCATCAATTGAAAGCTAAGAATCATTTCTGTGGGATGTGTAAAACAAGAAGCTGACCAGCATTATTTTCTTTTTCTTTACTTCAGTGTCATTATTGAGAGTTATTCTTGAACTTTATGAAAACCAGATTGGGGCCCAAGCATGTTCTCCATCGAATCATGTTCAGGGAATTGGAACTGAAAATCATTCAAACTAGGAAAACATGACATTGAAAAATATTTTACATTCTTTATTCTACCTCAAAGTAGACTATCCTGAGACTGTTCCTGCCTAGGGAGCCTTAGGCTGATAGATGTGACTTTTTAAAAATGAACATTTAGCCTCCCAGTCAGAAAGAGGTCATCATTTTTTTTCAATCACTTCTTTACTTGGTTGGCTTATCAGTTACAACCTTTGATCATCTTACTTTTTTGCTCAGAAAGCTGGGATTTTTCACTATTGCCCACAGAAAAAACTCCAGGCGGTGCCTGGCATTCAGGGCCCCCCTCCTGTCTAGCCCAGGTGGTCTCTCCAGTCTATACTTCCTACTGCTTGCCTCTTCCATGCAAATTTCTTCCTAGCCAAACTGGGCCATGGGCTGCTCACCGACTTCTGTTTTGGTGCCTCCAGTTTTTTCTTCCCATTACCCCATCTCTCAGGGATGCCTGTTTTTTTCCTCTCCATTTGCTGAATGTTCCATGTTTACTTCAAGGGGCAATGCATTTCCTTTCATGAGTTCTTTCTAACCATCCCACCCTTTCTACTCCTCTCTCTTTTCCCTTCTCCAAGCTAAACCAGATCTTCCCAGCCACCCCCATAGCACATGTAGACACATACATACATGAGCCCCATTCCAGGCTGCTACTGTGTGTGCGAGTTGTGCCCTGCACAAGGATATCAAACCCAGGGGCCAAGTGAAGACAAGAATCTATCTTACTTTCCATTTGCCAAGACATGTACCTGTCCACATGACTATGTCCATGCAGCGGCACCTTATCTGTTTCATACAAAGGCACAGAAGAGCGAGTTTGGGCTAGCTGAAGCCTTGTTCATGTGCACGCAAGCTTTTTATGTCCTTAGGGGGGCACAAGTTTGTTGGGGGCAATGACAGCTTTTGTATTCCCATGACGCCTGGCACAATAGCTTTCTTACATATAAGATTGTTCATTGAATTTAATTGAAGGGATGAATGTATTTATTAAAAACATTTACTTCTGTGTATAAATGCAAGCATGGGAAGCACTGTAGGAATCAAAATGGACTTCTTAGCAGATGTGGGATAGCCAGCTTGTCTAACTTTAAGTATATCATGGTTCTGTCTCAGCCAAGTCATTGCCTATAAAATGCAGTGCCCGGTAGTCTTTGGTGGAATTTCAGAAACCACATTTGTGATGCTGTGACAGGCCATGGCAGAGTTGGGCTGAAATCCATTTCTGACTGTTCGTTAAAATAGGCAAAGAATAACATTTAAGAACTGTTTGAAGTGGGCAGGATAAAGGTCAGAAGAATGCCCTTGGGAGGTGGGGGAATATGGGGAGGAACCAGTTGGATCAGTCTGAGGCCGGTGTACTTCCTAGAAGTCTACATAAGCCAAAAACAAGAAACAAAACAGCACCCCATGTCAGGGTGCTTGAAACCTTGCCAACACTATACACAGTATAACTGGATGTGGCCATGCCCCCAAGGCAAAGAACTGCTTTGTAAAGACTTTAGTGGAGAATTAATATTATTTCTGATGCAATTCTGTTGATAAATGGGAAATGTCCACAAACCAAGCTTTACAAACCACAGAACAATGATGTACGTAGGATAGGTTTTCTGCCTATTTGATGACATGGCCAGGGCTTCAAAGTTCAAGTTTCAAGGGCTACCGTTTGCCAGCCTCTCAACGGAAAGTTTGTGTCTTGTGTACAAAATTTCCCATGACCTATGCCCTGACCAATTGCTTGATGTTTTCCAGGATGTGTTGAGTTTATCTGATTAACTCTTTTCCCTTCAGGGAGAAAGAAGCCTCCCCCAGCCGTTTCACAGTACACCTTTCTCTCCCTTCTGCTCTCAGTCCTCTGTGATGTCCGTCTGCTTTGCTCGTTTCCATCCCAACTTGGTGGTAGGTGGGACTTACTCGGGCCAGATCGTCCTGTGGGATAACCGCAGTCACCGAAGGACACCCGTGCAGCGGACACCACTGTCAGCTGCTGCACACACAGTAAGTCAAGCTCTTGTCACATCCCTGCCAGCCATCCAAGACCTGAAAGGGGATAACTGACAGAAGTACAAATGTTGTCGCCGACTGCAGGTCAGAAGAATCTAGTTTATAGTGGTTGCATCCTGATGAATTGAAATCACACTGAGTGAAAGTCAGTAAAGGAAGCCCTGGGTTTAGAGAAATCTCTTCACAACCCACCAGTTTTAGCACACATCCAGCATCTGTTTGGCCCCAAAGGCTATTGGTAAGGAGAGCTTAACACTAAAAAAGGACACAAGGAGAAACTTTGGGATTTGTGAAATTTTTTTCCTAAAGAAACCTTTCACCTCTACATTTAAAGTGGAAACTCCTATTTTCAAACAGACCCTAGAGTGTAAGCATTTCATGTCTACGGATGGTATATAGGACTTTTGCCAACAGGCCTTTTCCATTTGTGATCTGAGGGAGGGCTATGACTTTAAATTCTGGAATGCCTGGTCTCAACAGTGAAGTCTACAGTGACAATATAATCCCTAGGGTTAAAAGTCAACATCTCAAAACCATTATCCATAATTTAGCAGAAGAGATTCAGTATAGTGTTCATAAGACAACTACTCTATCATTTCCTTTAAGAGAATGACAGGTGTGTTTAGCAATTGTTAGGAGGAATGAGAAGACAGCCATGTCTCCATCAATCCTTGCTACCTTGACATTCAGGGTAACTGCTGTTCTTTGTCTGAAATGCCCAAATTATGCCCGAGGATACAACTCTACTCTTGTTTCAGTTTCCTTAATATGCTTGCCTCCCTTGTTTAATATGCAGGCCTCAAAACCAACCTAGCTTAAAAAAGGACTGCCTGCTGCTTTAGCTAAGATCATGAGGGGGAAAATTCTTCCACTCCCAGAAGATTGACAATGGGAAATGGCAAATACCAAGTCAGACTTAATGCTGATTGACTTGGGTGTAAGACCCACACAGGTGAAACTGGTTCTTGGGAATCTTGGAAGATTGCTCTTGCCTACCCTAGTTCCCCAAACTAATGACAGAAAATTGTGACCCAGAAGAAGACAGGCTTGATGCAGGTGTGTACTCAAGTAGTGTGAAACCATTTTTTGGCTGTATGTGCATAATAGCTGGCGTGTTTGTGAACATACCTTCTGAAATTTCAAAAAAAATTATCAATCCATATAATAGAGCATAAGCTTTTGGGGAGAGTCCAACTTCAGGAGCTCTTCCAAAGAGTCAATCTCTCTTTTTCAAGTAATTGAGGATACAATCATCACAACTAAAATGCTATTATTACAAACAGAGTGACATTATTTATGTTAGAAAATGAAATGGTACGTTTTTTTTTTCTCTCTTTTGCTGTGTTTTGTTGAATCCATAGCTGAAAGTACACAGTTAATTTTGTGACTGCCTTTCAACTTCCCTTAACGCTTGGCTGATTGGGACCAGAATCAAAAGGGGTGAAGGAAAAAGAGGCCCACCACAGATTGCTAACTAATTTCCTTTCACACCCGCCACACATATGTATTTGGGATAACAGGAAATCCTAATTAGAACAAAAACCTTCTGCCACACAGTAAGCTTATTCCTAAAATAAATAAAAACAATCTGGCATCTGTACTGGAAAAATGAGCTGTACTGTTGGGTTTTTCTTTCTGTTAAGTAGAGTTGTGTATGTTTGTGTGTGTGTATAAGTGGGCATAGCCACGTGGCTGCTTCTGTTCTGGTTTCTTTACATCTCTCTTTTTTCTTTTAAACTAAGCTTTATTGCTCACGAAAGCACAGGCCAGTAGTAATGATGAAAGCTGGGAAAGGGTTACCACACACATTCCTTTTCTAGGCATTTGGCTCCTTACAGCTTTCTAGATGTCTTCTTTCCCTATGATGCCCACACTTAGGCACTGTGATCCATTAGGATTTGGGTGATCTGTGTTAATGCTTATTGGTGAACAAAGAAACCACACTGGACTCTTGCTGAAAAACACTTGGTAGATTTCAGGTCCGTAAGAATGCTTGGACCTTGCTTTCCCATTCTCCAGTTTTACTAAATCTGCTATTTTTAGGTGAGAATTTGTTTTATCTTTTCTCCCACTGAGTTTTCAAGCAAAGCTTTGAATGTTTTGTGGTCCAGTGCTTGCGTTCAATCAGTTGCTCACTGCTGCAGGCCCCACATATAATAGACATTTGGGAAAAAGTTGGCCACAGTCCCACAACCAGTCAGTTCTCTTGATATTTAGAGGCCTGATGAGGAGAACATTTAGTTTTAGATTTCTACTGCACTTACCACTGTCCAGATCCACTAAGACCGATTCATGTAAAGTTTCTGCAGGGACGTGGTATGAAAAAGACATAGGGGCTTCCTTGACTGTCATCAGCATGGACAAAAGAAATGATACAATTGCCAAAAAAAAGGAAATGTAATCTTAGGATGCATCAGCACAGGCATATTACGTGTCACATGCAAAATGAATTCAACACTCCCTGGATTTCTGTATTGTGTTCCTCGAAATATCAGAAAATGGTTGTGTTTCATTCTCAGAAATTCACTGTAAGAAACTCAGACAAAATATAGCTTATTCAAAGGAGAGTGACCAGGATGTGGAAGGCATTGAAAACCAGATACTTGAGGCACAGTTGAAGGAATTGGTGGTGATTAGACTGAGTAAGACGAGACTTGGAGAAGAAGGGTAATATAATGACCATCTACAAATAAAATATTGATTTGGCTTGACCTTGTCTGATCCCAGAGGCCACTGCTCTTAAAGTATCTCCATGAGCTTTCTTTATCCCCATTGGTGGAAGGAAGGACTCCCCAGCCACACACTGGCTACCCTTAAGGAAGGTGTTTAAGCAGAGTGTGGACCACCTCTTGGTAGAGGCAGATGAGTAGCTGCTCCAAATGATTATTATGGTTCCTTCTGACCAGGAGTTTATATGATAATAATAGCTTGGGAACCATCCTTTATATAATACCAACTTTCCAGCATTAAAGATTGTTTCATTGTCATTGTGGCTACGTATTATGGACAGTAACTCATTAAGAGTAAGACTTAGACTGTCAGCTATTTACACAGAGAAGCACCAACTAAGTTGTGGTTTGGCCACCGATGGCTAAGCTGCTTGAAATCTAACCCAAACTACTGCTAGGTTCTGCTCATGCTAACCTTCCATTTAGCATTTACTGTGCAGCTGCAAATGATTTCAGCCTGCCATTTAGGAGTCTACAGAGTGGGATAACCTAGAGAGTTAATGACAGAAGGTTAGAACATCTTTTTTACAATTCCCATGATGTGTAAATGACCTTTCTCAAGGCCCTGGCCAAATCTAAGCCTCTGTACTACCCTACGTGATATTTTGAAAAATCAATCTATCATTATCCTTGATTTCGCAGGAGCCTTAAAGAACCTAATTTTATCCCAATAGGTGCATTGTGCCAATAATTTTTTACCACCAATATCTCTCCCTCAAATTAAAGAGGCTGATGAGTATTAACCACATTTTATAAAGAATGTTAACAGATGTTTGACACTGCAACTATAATGCATTAAAGTCCAAATTTAGTAATACATATTCCTTCCAAAAGTCCATAGTTCTTCCCTTTTGAAGACTGTCTGGGCTCCTCACTCATGGTGAGCTTAGGAGCCAAACTGTGCGGTAGAGACTTACTCAAGTAATACGCATTCACCCCCCTGTGCTGCTTCTGCCCCATCAGTCCTCAGGTGCTCCAGCTTCCGTCAGCACTGTTGCATTGCATCTGACCAGCAAGGGGAAGCTTTGTAAGTATTTCCATTACACCGTGTTGCCTCCAAGGCTTTTAGAAAGAAATCAGGTTCAAACCAAAAGTGGCAAATGACCTGAGGCTTGTATTACTGTCTGATTATGTCACCCTTTAATTCTTGTTTTAGAGTAGGGTGTTTGATACTCAAATGTAAGTATTTCCTCCTGGCTGGGTGGCTGACTCTCCATGTTTATGTTCACAGCACCCTGTGTACTGTGTAAATGTTGTTGGGACTCAGAATGCTCATAACCTCATCACTGTCTCCACTGATGGCAAAATGTGTTCCTGGAGCCTGGACATGCTCTCCACCCCACAGGTGGGTTTGTTTTCCCCGCCGCATAAAAACATCCTGGCTAAAAGAGATACCTGACTGATGGAACATAGACCCTAAAGGCTGAACTCTCAGATCCCGTAGGAGCACTGGAGAGAGGGGGCCTCCTTGCAGCAGTCTCCTCTTCAAGCCCAAACCCATTTCCTGTACCACACATCATGTAATTACTGTACTGCGCTAATCCATAGGTCAAGTGAAAATGAAGTAATCTATTTTAAAGCATAGGAATAATGGAAGTTGTCTGTGGTATGAATTATACTTATCCTACAGAATTGTTAAACAAGTGCAAACGAAGTTGGAGCTCCCTCATGGCACTTGCCTTGGAGCAAAGGCATCCTGGGAAATGAATCCTGGGAAAACAGAAATCCAAACCCTTGCTTGTATCCATAGCCTAGATGACTGCCTGTGTGTAGGAAGAATTTGTCAAACCATGTTTTGTCTTCTGGAATGTTTGTTAGTATGGCTCCTGCCATCCCTTGCTCAACAAATGAGAAGTCAAACATGAAAAAATGCCAGCGTTTCCAAACTGTTGCTGATTATAGTGATGGGAACCAAAGAGCAGGAGTGGAAGAGACCCACTGGGGGGAGGCATCTTGAGGCCATTTCAGAATATGCATGTGTATACATTCACGCAAGAAGACACGCACACACAAACGCACTCTTTTCACATTTCTTTGTGGGGGAAAGACAGTACACTATGCTCCAATGAAAAACACAGGGAAGAGTTTATTGTTAAACCTTTGACAAAAATATGAGGAAACATCAAGAAAATTATAAAAGATATCTAGGAAATAATTCTCAATTTTAACATTCTTTATTCCCTTTCCTGGAATAACGGTCCTAGAAAGTCTCACAACTCCATAAGATATTCAGAAGATAAGGTAACATAAGGAAATGTGGAAAACATAAAGAGCCTCCCATAAGTCTCCACAAAATACAGATGTAGAGAATACTGAGACGAACTAAGTTCTTTCTATAATTCGTGGGGGGGAGAAAAAACAGAGAGCTAATAAGCTCCTTGCAGTTTAAGTTCCTCTGTTTTTGCTTATCTTTAACATTATAAAAGTTGGGAGTAGTGTATGGGTATTTTATGGCTTTGTCTTAAAATTCTCAGCAATATGTTGTTTTCTTTTAAAAGCATAAAGATGAAAGATATAATAGTGGACCCTCTAATTAGGAATTTTTAATTGCCCATTTTGCTTATTAAATGTGCATTTGTTTAGGTTAAAACCAGTCATACAGGGGCTACAAGACTGTTTTTATTGGTTTTAGCACACCCACAGACTCCAGTCTCTGTGCAGAGACTGAGAGCTTCACGGCGTGGCCATAGGCGGCAGACAGACATGGGAGCATCCGACAGTTGCCCTGGTCCCTTTCTTTCCCAAGTGGGAGACCAAGAGAGTGTGATTTCCCTCCTGCTGATGTGGGTGATGGAGCAGAGCATTGGCCAGTCCTGTTTCTGTATTATATGGTCATGGTGTCTCCTCTCTAATGCACACGCTTATGAGTAGATCTCACAAACTGCAAGCCCATCATGTGACCACATGGTCAGCCTACCCAGACTATTAGCTTGGGCTTCCAATTATGGACTCCTTGGCTAAGATGACCCGGGTTATTTGCACAAAAACAGACTAAACTCCCAAGCAATCCTCATGACATGATCCCCTGGAATGATTTTAAAAAATGACTTAGGTGCACAAAGTAGGCTGTTTGATATAAGCAGCCAGAAACAGTCAGGAATGTTAGTTATATTCGATAATCTTTACTGTCGTGAAACTTAATTCAGCAGAATGTCTTTTAAAATACTCTTTAATTTCTGATTCTGAAAATCATTTTAGATAAAATACTCTCATTTACTATCATAAAGACTTTTTTAAATACCATTCTTTGCAGACTCACAGCCTATACACCCAATGGCTGCCTTCATGAAATCTGGTCCCTGTTGAAATATGTTTTTTATGACCTGAGTGACAACTTTCTGGTTTTAGTCCATGGGCACACACTCCTACTTTGACAAATGCGCATAGTACATCTGATATTAATACTTGTGCATTCTCACAAACAATGGATTTTGAAAATGTTTGTAAATACAAGGGTATTGTGTGTTTTATTAAAGCCTGGGGTTGATAATTGTAACCATTACAGTATTATCTTTAGTTTCTGCACCATTTGTTTCAAAATTCTCACCTGTCATCTCCACCTGACTTTGGTGGGAGCTGATGAAACCCAGCCAGCCTGTGACCAGAGATACACAGAAGCACGGATGTCGGGGCAGGAAAGCCTGGTTTCTGGCACCACTGGGGTCTTTTGTAACGCTGTATGAAAAGCAAACAGACGCTTTAGCCAGATGATTTTTCCATGCTGTCTTTGGCATGGCAGGGAGTTGACAGAGGGAATGTAACCACTCCGTGTTTTGGTAGGAGAGCATGGAGCTGGTGTACAATAAGTCCAAGCCAGTGGCTGTTACTGGAATGGCTTTCCCGACGGGAGACGTCAATAACTTCGTGGTTGGCAGTGAGGAAGGGACAGTCTACACGGCCTGTCGTCATGGAAGGTGATTTTCTGTTTTCTTACCGATGAAGTGTTGCTTATTTATGAAAGTCTGTTATCACACCCTGGATTATAACCACCTTGTATTACGAGAAAGGCATTTCTGAGGAAATGCAGAGCACCCCTCAGGTCTGCCCTGTCTGCGCTGGTCATTAGGTATTATAAGTCTTCGATGGTTTGGCTGTCTTGAGAAAAAAGGCCCAAGCTTCTTATATCACATAAGACCCTTGACTTTCTGCCCCTATAAGCTGCATCCTTCAGACTCCAGCCACACACCCATCAGAGATAATAATCCCCAAATATTGCTCATCCCACCGCACCTCCATGAGTTTGTATATTCAGTTTCTTCCACTGGCTCTGGCATTTGTCTCTTCTTGGCCTGCTTAATTCTTCCACATCCTTCAGGAGTCAGCATAGAGATCACTCTACAGTGAAGCCTCTCCTGACTCACTTGGACAAAGAAAATCATTCCTTCCCATATGATTGCATTGAACGTTCATTCCTTTTATTCATTTATTCTTGCAAGGAGTATTGACCAAGAACCTCACATGTGTCAGGCACCATCACACAGGGAGCAGCAAGGAACAAACAGACCCAGAGTTCCTGTCCTGCTTGAGGGTAAAAGAAAATAAACTAGTAAACAAGGACATTTATGGTTTCAGATAAGCACTATGGAGATAATTAAAGTAGAATAAGTGAGCTAGGCCTCAGAATGTCAGAAAGTTGTCTTTTATATTATTTTATATTTGCTTCTACAAAAGCATTATCACATTTTATTTCAACTATTCATCCATCTGCCACTTTTCCCTTACTAAGCTATTTCCATTTCATCATTAATTCCCTGCCTGTTGCCTGGCACATAGTGAGTGAGGAGCTCAAAATCTATATGGGGAATAAAGAAATAATAATATCCAAATAATATAAAGAAGTGCCTTAGAGCCCTTCTACTCAGAGGCTGGAATAGTATGAACTATAGAAGCCACTTTGAAGTTTCCAGGTGACAAGAACTCTACCTTGATTGAGAGATGGGCAAATGCCCCTGGAAAATCATCAGGATAAAGTAGAATCCAATAATTTAGACTAGATTACAAAATTGTATGCAAGACTTAGCAAGTGGGCTCACATCTTTCAAAGGTTCACTGTGTTCACATTGGTGCTTAATTTCTGTTTCACTTTAGTAGTTCTAATTCAATTGATTTTTCATCTCTTGCACTCACCTCAGGCTATTAAGATTTAATGAGAAATCAGAGGTTGCTCCAAGGTTATACTCCTGTGTTCTGTGATTGATAGAAGTAACAAGTATCCACAGCTAGCTATGTCATTTTTCCAGTCAGACAATATGAGTTGTGATGTGATGTTCAACTGTTCTGCACATAGAAACGTGCAGAATTTTCCCCCTCACACTACTTAAAGATGACTAGGGAGATATGTCTCATAGTTTCATGCCCAGTGTTCCTATTTCATAAAAACTGGCTAAAACCACACATTAAAGTTTTATGAAAACATGAAAGGATCTGAGAATGTTGTGCATTCATGCAAATGTTCACTGCATGCCTACTTTGAGCAAAGTGCAGTCGCTAGATGTTGCCAGGCATGCTGACATCATTTAAACCCAGTTCCTGTCTTCAAAAAACTAATGATTATGGGAAAGGCAAACACACAAATATCTGCTCTACAGGTAGAATGTCATAAGTGGAATGAGGGAGGCACGGAGAGTGCAGAGGGCCACATGTGGAGTCACAGCTTTATCTACACATTTATTAGAATCAATAGGGCATAGGTTCAATTGACTTAATCCAGGACCTTAATTATCTGTAAAGAACATGCTCACTGATAACTTTAAGATTTTTTTTTAAATCTCTAATGTGAATAACCTTTTACCTGATGAATATCTCTGTTCTGTAGCTATTGTCCCTTTTGAAGCACAATCAGATTATGCACGGTGGTTAAAAAGAAGAGTGCCTAAAGTACAAACCACAGATCTTTTTACAGCAAGATTGATTTGGCTTTTACATTGGTCCATCCATCTGAAATATAAAATACAAATCTTAGTAAAGTTGTAAAGTAGCAGGCATTTGGCTTCATAGTAATTTTAAGTAGGTTGTCCAGGGCTACGCGGGAGAGGTGAGAGGTTTCTATTTTTCACCTAACATAGAGAAGGTGCAAATCCACTTCCATAAATTAAATAAGGTCCTCATTTTGCACCCTATAAACCCTTTCAGGATGCTGTTAAGAGCAAGTGGAGTCTCACCAGGGGCCACTTCAAAGATCAGTTCCTCGTATTCTTTAGAACAAATTTAAATGATCATGTGTGGAACTGCTGTTAGCAGTTTCACTGGGCATAATTTTTGAGTGCCTGTTACACGAACACACACTGCAGCACTTTGCTCATGATTTCACATTTTGCTCAGCGCATTGACATGTACTGGTGCTCCAGAAACCCAAATGTTTTAATAACCCAATTCATTTTTACTCTTAGTGCCATAACATTTAGATTCCACAGTCCCTAAGCATTTGTCATATTTATAACCTCTTGCACATGGATTTTTAAAATACAGCATTTTGGCATATTTTCTAATTGGCTATGATTGCATGCAGACTATTGCGCGATAATAGGAGCCTGGAACTAATCCCAGCTTAGTTAAATAAGTGATGTATGTCTGTGGATAACTTTCAAAATGTGTATCACTATTTCTCAAATGTGCTTCTGTTGGGAAAACAAAAGGCAAAAGTTTGTCTCTTTTCCTTCTCTGTTTCTTTCAACAAATACTTATTGAACACTTACTATATTCTGAACACTTGGCATCCAGAAGAATAAGGCACCAGCCCTGAAGGATTTTACATTTAGGGGATTCAAGAATCTCTCTTCCGCTTTCAATGAAAACATCATTTTCTCCATTTATATTCAAGTTATGCCTATTATTTTATGGCGGCAAGCGTTTCCACAAAGCATTATGTTTGCAGGTATGTCAACATAAGAAGTGTTCTTGAAAGGATAGTGTTCTTGAAAGGATAAACGTGTGTATACAAGGAGGTACGGAGTTTTGTCGCCAGTTGGCTGACCAAAAGGAGTTAAAATAGAAGGTGTGCCAAATGCCAACAGAAGAATAGAAGAGTCTTATAAATATGAAAACTTCTGAGATCTAAGTATATATGTTTTCCATCAAAGTAGCTGCATCAACCATGATAGGGTTTGAGGAACTCCTGGAAAAATATTAAGTGGTAAAATTGGTATTAAATTCTGAAGATTAAAATAATCCTGTTGGCCCATATTGTTTTTAATCACCGAAAGTAGTCTAGCATATTATTTCTCTCAAGATAACTATGAAAGTGGTTTCAATTTTGATGGTTTATGGTTCTTCTTGTATATTATGGAGAACTAATCATGCAAAGACCAATTTGTCTTTTTAAAGCAATCACTGCTCTGCAAAGGTCACTGAAATCTGCTCATGTGTGGTCTTCCTGCAGCAAAGCAGGGATTGGTGAGGTCTTCGAAGGTCACCAAGGGCCAGTGACAGGAATTAACTGCCACATGGCGGTGGGCCCAATCGACTTTTCGCACCTGTTTGTCACGTCATCCTTTGACTGGACTGTCAAGCTGTGGACCACAAAGGTAAGAATACTTTGACTTAAAATCTCAGGTAATACATAAGTGAGGAGGACAATTTTTGTTTCCAGGGTGGTTGGGGAACCAGGGGTTGTGGGGAACCTGAGTCTCTTCCAAATGAAGATCTACATTAAAAATCTACAACCTGCTAGTGAGCTCCATCTGCCTCAGAGGTAGTTCAGGCTCACTTTCTCAGTCCATTTTATTTACTTTAAAATATTTAGGTAATACCTGAAACACTCTAATTGTAAAAAGTTCAAACAATTCAGACAATGAGAAAACCAAAATCCTGCTTCATCAACACTAACCCTGCCCACAACATCTCCTTCATTGCCCGCCATCCCAGGCCTCTCCCCAGCAGTAACCTCTGCACAGTTTAGGGCTGACTGTCAGGAACTCTGCAGCACTTTGTACCTTTGGGAATATATGACTTGGGGCTTAGGGTTTTTTGTTTGTGTTTTTTTTGGTGGGAGGGGGGATTCTTTGCTTTATTTTTTTTGAGTCTTTGGAGGTTCTAAGCTAGTAAATGGCACTCTATTATTTGTACTTTCAAAGGTAATTCTGATCATGTTTGGGAGCAAGAAAAGGAATGACCTAAAAGGAATGTGCAGTAGTACAGGGGAGAAAAGATAGTGGCTTAGATCAGTAGTTTGGGATGGAGAAAAGTAGGTGGATTTGAGGATCATTTATGAGGTAAAAACCACAGGAATTGGTGATTGACTAGATACAAGGATGGTGAAAGAGGGCTTCATCAGGAAAAAAACCAGGTTTATGACTATGGCAGTTGGCCATTTGTGGAAGCATTCACTGTGCTAGAGAACCGCAGAGGAAAGCTGTGCTGGTGAAGCATGTTGCACAGGTCTCATTTAAGGTTCCTGGGAGGCACAATTCACAGTCTCCATTAGGCAGTTTGACATGTGGGACAGAAGTGGAGGGCTCTGGGCTACAAGTACACACTTAGTAGCAGTCAGAGTACAATGATTATACAGTTGAAAGAGTGAATCTTAAAACAAGAGCTAAGATACAATCCAAAGAAAGAGGTACATTTAGGAAATAAACAGGAGAAATGGAGTTGAAAAGGAGATTAAAAAGTAACAACCCAAGAAACAGGAAAAAAAAATGAAATTATTTTGTGTGTGGCTTCCTGGGTATTAATGTAAAGGGACTATGCTGAGGATAAAATTAGCTCTTACATGTATGAAAAAAACTCATTTATAAGAGAAATTCAAACTAAAATCAAGTTGAGAAATTTCTTTTTCAACAATTGGACTGCAAAACTCCAAGACAACATACTCTGTGATGAAGCTGAAAGGAACCGGCCATTCTCATACATTGCCATGGGAAATGTAAAATGTACAATACTGTGGAGGAGAGCCTGGCAATTTCTAAAAACAATACATGCATATTTGCTCATTGACAGAGCAATTCTCACTTTGAGGAATCTATGCCAAAGACAGACTAGGAAAAGTAAGAAAAAGATGTATGCAGAAAGTTGTCCATTAAAGACTACTTTGAATAGCAAAAAATGGAAACAACCGAACAGTCCATCAGTAGGGCTCTGAACAAATTAAATGCATGGTCCGTCCACATGAGAGAGGACTGCACAAGTGTGGGAAGAAATAAAGATGTCTACGTACTACTATGGAGTCATCTCTAGAATGTATTTTGAAATGAGAAAAGAAAAGTGGAGAGAAGTGTAAATGGTATGTTCTCCCTGTTTAGTATTTATGTATGTATTTTTAAAGGTTGGAGAAAGAAGGCACACACGTAAAATTATTACTTGTAGGGAGGCAGGAGGCTGAAAGAAACAAAGGTAATAGCCATATTTCTTTAAATATACCTTGCTCATACATGTGCCTTGGGAACCATGTATATATTTCATGTAGTTTTAAAACAAAATAAAATAAATGTTCAAATTGGTTCCTAAAAAATTTTAAAGTAACGTGAAACTAATCAATCTGACTGTGGTTCAAACTGGAGGCAAAACCTTACAATATGGAAAAATTCTAAGGGACTTTTAAACCCTGAATTTTGACTATACATTCTAAAAGGGATACAGTTTAAGGATTTGAAAGGACTCCTAAAAACATCTTTAACTACTTCTGGTATTCCTGTTGGTGGTGATTGTATTGTTAGTCTTACTCTGATACTGTTGTATCTTGAGGTAAATAAAGTGACTGTGTTTGTTTCATTGAGAATTGATATTAGCTGGGTTGAAAGGAGATACAAATGCACAAAATAAAAACTCCATAGTAACCCTGAATTTGAGTTGGATATATCAGTAACAACTCATGGTGTGTGTTACCTGAAAATTTAAGTGACTACATGTTCATAGCACTATCTACCAAAAAGTCTAGAAACAATGACCAGTTCAGCAGTGGCACTCCTGGTGTCCAGACTGGGCTCTGTAAATACTAATTCCACTTAAAAAAAAACAGAGATCCTGGAAGTTATTACTGACTTGGAGCTGAAACTGTACAAAATAAGCCTGAAATACATCATCGTAATAGAAAGCAAGGAGGCTCCCAGCCCTGCACGTTTCTTGCCAAAGGACTTGGAAGCCAGGTTGAATAGGCTTCTGCTGGCCAAAGAATATCAATAAAGCTAATAGATTCATGGATTAATAACAATGAAAAAAGGAAAAAAAAAAACCTCTTGGTCATATTTGGAAAACACTAGAGACACCAACTCATTATTCTGGAAACCGATAAGGAAAGGAAAGAGTCAAACATTTATTCTGTCATCTCTGTATGATTTATACTTCAGGATTACTAAATAATTGATGAGGGATGTTTTTCTTTATAGAAATATTCCAGCTAATATAAGAAGAAGAAATGATAGTATTTGAATATCACTATTTCGTATCCCCTAATGGCCTAGGTAATGATAATTGCTGATAACATCATAAAAATAGAAACATTTACGATTAGCACACATAATGTTGGGGGGGGCACGGGGAAGGCAGTATAGCACAGAGAAGATAAGTAAGTGACTCTGTAGCATCTTACTGCACTGATGGACAGTGACTGTAATGGGGTATGTGGTGGGGACTTGATAATGGGGGCAATCTAGTAACCAAAATGTTGCTCATGTAATTGTACATTAATGATAACAAAATAAAAAAAATAGAAACAACATTCATAACAATACCACCTTTGAAGTAGGCTTGCCCCCCAAATTGAATCCAAATCTTATCAACCCACCATATCTCTGAATTTAGAGGCAATGGGAGGTACAGATGCCAAATGTTAAAGAATGCCACAGGGTGGGAATCAGTCAAATCCAGACTGTGGGGGAGTATCTAGGATAGCTGATCTCATTTCTGCAACAAAACCAAACTTTTTTTTTTCAAAGGAAAAATAGAACTGGAGATGGAAACTATGTATCAAAACAAAATAGAATGAAACAAAACTTGAAGACATGTCAGCCAACCTCAAAATGTGGATTCCTATTTAGATCTTGATTCAAACAAACAACCTATTAAAAAATTAGAAGGCTCTTAGGCAAATGTGAAAATTGACTGGATGTTTGATGACATTTATGAATTATTATTTTTAGGTGTGATAATATTTTGATCTTTTTAAGTGGTTTTATCTTTTTAGAGATGCACACTGAATTATTTATAGAAGAAATCATGATATCTGGAATTAGCTTCAAAAAAATCAGTTGCTAAGGGGAAAGCTTATGGATATAGATGAGTAAGATTGTTCCTGTATTGGCAAATATTGAATATGTTTGAAATTTTCTATAAAAAAATAAGTTCTGTAATTTAAAAAAAGGAAAGGGGGGAGTGATTAGCAATAACTAATACTTCAGAGACTTAAGTAATATAAAGACTGAAACGTGTCCATTTTGTGTAGCAACTCCACTGGTGGCTGTGTTAAGTACAGCCCCTTGGGGTGCATTGAGAATGGGACACAAATAACAATGGGTAAAGGAAAGAAGGGAAAGCAAAAAAGCACTGGAGAAAAGCTGAGAAGTTTAGCTATGAGGAGAGGAGGAGGTGGGAAAAGCAGTTGTGTTTTTTTTCTGTCCTTTTTTTTTTTTTGAGATTGTAGCGATTCTTGAGGATGTTGCTATGATGGAAGAGTCAGTAAAAAAAAAAAATTTTTTTCTACCTTTATCTTGCATCTACCTACCACTTCAGCATTTTATTAAAAATAATAATAATAATAAGGGAGAAATGTGGGATTCACATATAAATCAAGTATAAAAATCAAACAAATATTCATATTTGACCTGATTGTTTATAGTTCATGATGCGTGATCAAAACCGAAAGTTTCTGTGATGACTGCCCTTGCACTGTTCACCATGTAAGAACTTATTCACTATGTAAGAATTTGTTCACCATGTAAGAACTTGTTCATTATGCTTCAGAAGATTGGAGACTGTTGAGAATTAGTCTTGGGGTTGATTAATGATTGTGCATTGAGTCCCCTATACAGAATTTTATTGTTGTTAACAACCATTTGATCAATAAATATGAGAGATGCCCTCTCAAAAAATAAATAAATAAAATAACTAAAAAAAAAAAGAGTAGGAAATCTAAATGTATAAGACAGAGAAAGGGCCCTGAAAATGCTGAAATGAATGGGCTGCATAGCATGGGCAGAGCATTAATTTTAAATTTGGGCTGTGTCATGTTGTAGCAAGAGAACTGGGAAGGATGGGAACAAAGACTCACAAATGTGCAGGTTTGGTGAATGAAAGTAGAGAGAACTCTCATGTGATGCTGCTTTCATAGTGAAGTAGGAGGTAAAATACTGTACTGAGTGGGAAGTGGAGGAACTGAAGGGAGCAGGTCTGGGCTGGTTACAGAAGAACTGGAAGAGCTGATTAGGGAAACAGACTCTGCATGTGTGGGGGAGCCGCTTGAGTGGAGACCAGAATGCTTTAGTGGCATCAGTCAGCCTCCGTGAGAGCTTAGCAGCACAGATCTGGACAAGAATGATGGGGACAATTAGATAGATTCTGGGCTGGAATGTTACCAGAATGTGATAGGACA